CCCCTCACACCCCACCCTCCCCACCCTCGTCTGCCCGTAATGAACACATATATCGTTCATCTTTGTTAACCACTACTGGCTGATTGTTCCCTCCCCATAGGTTGATTCGATTATGACAGACTAATCTGTACCGAACTGTCTGTCTGTGATTAAAAAAATCCCCCTGGAAGTTGGCCGCCTAATCCTTTATCATAATAGTGCGTGATCTGTAATGACTATTTCACCCGCCACCCAGTGCCACACAATTCCGATCTCTCGTCACTATAACCACCGTACCACCACCGCCAGGACTATCTCAATCCGAAACCGGTAACCAATATACGTATGCATCATCATATATCTATGTACACCTCGTTCTCCTAATGATGATTGATGGAGCATAAAATGCGGAAAAATTGAGGGGATTGGCAAATAAGCAAACAGCAACTACTACAAATACAACCGCTAATGAACGAATCAATCCAAACCAACCCCCCATCCCCACACACACTCATAAAGAGGTTGCCGATATGTGAGCCATGTGCAGCGCTTCTGGGTTGGTAGCAAATCCGGAACACGCACATTGTACGACCAGAAACAGCAGGCTCGAGCATTCGCAACATCGATACATAGGTGTACACGAATATTTTTACACAAATATCTATATGTGCACACCTTCATCTTGAAAGTACCGCCATGCACAATGGCGGCCATATAGAAAGCAATTCGATGGACCTCGATCGTTGTGTACTACGGTCAAAAAAACGAATCCTTATGAAAGGCGGGGATCTGGGTGGGGAGGAAAGATAGGAAATGAATGAGGGTAAATGACATTCCGTATAAAATGTTGGATAGCTTTTAAGTGAACTCGTATGCTAACGGGTTCTGATTACCTTCGGCTGCCCACCTCATCATCATCATCATCATCATCATCATCATCATCATCATCATCATCATTAGCAGCAGTAGCAGCAGCAACCGCATCGTCATCAACCAGCCAGCTCGCGATGACTGAAAGGCCACGATGAATTCGGGATCTGTACTGTACTGTACATACCAGCCGGTACGCATTCGACCGGTTGAGACTGGGACAATGATGATGATGATGATGATGATGATGTTGATGATGTAGTACGCACGCACAGTCGGTGCCCGCGGGCTACGCTACTGCTACTGGTTATCACCGATTCAGCCGATCCCACACACACACACACGCACACACACACACACACATACACACACACGGACTATCCCTTTTTGGGGGAGCGGTGGATGGATTGAGAGAAACGACCGATTCATTCATGGCTTGTTGACCGCACACTGAGTCGCACGAAT